ACCAACAGCAACACCAGCAGCAACGACAAAACAACAACAACAACAACAACAACAACAGCAGCAGCAACAACAACCACAACTACTACTACTACTACTACTACTACTACTACTACTACTACTACTATTACTACGGCTACTACCACTACGACGACTACTACTACTACTACTACTACTACTACTACTACTACTAGTACTACTACTACTAGTACTGCTACTGCTACTGCTACTGCTACTACTACTACTACTACTACTACTACTAGTAGTACTGCTACTACTATTACTACTACTACTACTACTACTACTACTACTACTACTACGTACTACTGCTAATCATAATAAGAATAATACTGCTCACTCTTTGACCCGCGTGTATGAAGTGGAGATAGGCCGATGGATCGAAAGGCTTTGCAGGGATGGCTTCCATGCTCTACTCCGGCTTATCCGGTTTGGGAATGAAGGAAATCTAAGTTTTGCTGCTTCAGGCTTCAAGCATTTTCTGTAGAATTTATGAGTCGCGAAGCTCGGCGAACAGCACAAGCCGTGGGCAATTACACGGGGATGACCCTGCACTGGCAGCAGGTGCCGGCCTTCGACCACCGATTGATGCGATAGGCGTCTAGGTCCGAGGCACAGACAATCTCCATCTTGCTGTAGCCCTGGTAGTGGTATGGCTTCGAAACGGACAGCCAGCAATGGTTCGGGGTCTCTACAGACATCAGACATCCTCTGCCATAACAACACTCAGACTTGGCCTCTCCGCAAGTACAGTTCAGATTGCTGGTCGCTGCTAAGCACCCCAGAGTCTAACAGGCAAGCATGGAAAAAAACAAGAAAAGCTGTGCGCCCCAAGCAACAATCAATGATGACCTACATCCTATCTCAAGCCCAAGCTACACCCGAAAACTGGGGGCATCAAACGTCACGGACTCGCCCTGACCCTGCCTGAGGGCTCTTGGAGTCTTCTATCTCGGCGAAGGGGCTCTCGAAAGAGCTGTAACCGATCTTCGGCCCCTGCGACATGCTTGAGACTGCTGCGGGTCCCAGTTCAAGGGCCCGCAAACGAGCCTTCGCTGTTCATGGTGATCATGCTGCTGAGTAGGACGAGGATGACGATGACAAGATGACGATGACGATGATGATGATGATGATGATGATTATGCTGATGCTGATGCTAATGATGCTGATGATGCTGACGACGATGGTAACGGTGATGGTGATGATGGTGATGGTGATGGTGATGGTGATGGTGATGGTGATGGTGATGGTGATGGTGATGGTGATGGTGATGTGATGATGACGATGATGATGGACACGGTGGTGGTGGCAGAGATTGTGATAATGCCATGCTAGGGTGATGTGGTGAAAAGTTCAACATCGAAATTTCTCACGTTGTTGTCATCAATCTTAACATGATGAAGTTCAAGCCCCGGTAAAGCATTTTTTTCAAGATGAGCATCGTTGTTCCTTTTCGTCCTTGTTGATGCTATCGCCTTCACTCTTGACACTTGTAGCTTACTCGTACGAGCGAGCAGCGATCCCATTGTTGTTGACAGCAGCCGCGACAAGAAACAACATAGCCGGGAGCAGTAGCAAAGAGTTCGGGATCATTATTGCCCTTACCATTGCTATTGCATGAAGGCTATGACAACTGCGGCGACCATTGGGTCTTTCGGCCAGCTTGCCGGGTGCTGCTACAACTGCAAAAGAGCCTCGTCAGTTCAAGACCTGCGCCTCGACCAAACCGTACCGCTGCTGCAAACCCTCACGCCTTGAAACTCAAAACCCAAAGGCCCGGTACAGTCATGATCAGCTTGCAGCTTTCTCGGTCTGGTCTTCTGCTCTCTGGCATCGGCCTGCCGGTGCTCGACCAATAGACTGTTCTGCCCGTCGCAACACGGGGTCTCGCAGGACAAGTAGGACACTGGCGCCGCGACCTGAAGGCATCCAGGCATAGCTTGAGGGTTTGGAATGAAACAAACGGAGGCTGAGGCTTGGCGTGCATTTCAGCACTTGCAATACTGATCTTGCGTAATTAAGCAGAGAGTACAACAGCATTCTTGCCTTTGCGTAAGGCCTCGCACTTTGCATGTGGAGACATTTGCCAGGCACACTAAGCACTGCGGCGGGTACTAAACGCATGTTCACACGCAAGCCCGCCACGCTCGGCAGCTGATTAACTGGCTGCAACACCTAGTAAAAAGAGCCAACCATGACTTCAGAATCTTGGCGAGAGGTGCATTAGCCTTGCGTGTATCTTCTGCGAGCATCATTTTGGAATCCTTCAGAGCCCCCACGTATGGGGCTGAAGGATTTCTGAGAATCCTTCAGGACCCCCGCGTATGGGGCTGAAGGCCCACGTGCGGGGGCTCACCTGTAAGGGCTGAAGGATTTCTCTGAGCATCAAGGAAAGTCTCAAACCTCGAGAGACTGAAGCGCTTGAATCGGAAATCTTCTCATGAGCAACATCGAAGGAATACCAAGAGTTGCGTGCACCTTCCTGCCACGCACCGCATGCACCCCATGAGCTTGGTCCCATAAAGTACGAAAAGCCACGAACATTTCACATCCACAACGAACATGTCTCAGTGAGCAGCTCCACTGGCCGCGCCCATTTGGTGACTCCTGGACGTGCTTGCGACACAGTGACGAATTTAGGGTCTCGGGCTTTAGGTTGTAAGAGTTTTTGAGTGTTGGGTTTTGAGTTTAGGGTTGGCTTGACACGTTTCCGCTTCTGAGCATTTGTGAAATAAGAATGTCGTGACCTGTCTGCCTACAACCTCACAATGATAAATGCGTCGGGCCCAAGGGCTTGCCGCTTGAGGGCGTCTGCACATACTCCGCAAAAGGGACTACGTTGTGAAAGAGCTAGTGCTTGTGCTGGTAGGAATCATGCTGCTCTTGGCCGCAGCACTGTTGGTAGCATGACGCTTGGAGAGTGCTGCTGGCTAGTATCTTAGAAGACGGCGAGTGTGTATCAGTCTTGCTAATGTTACAACCATCATAGGTGTAGGATAACAATCTGCCACATCTGTGTTACATCAGCAGCATGAGCTTCACCACGCCCTATGTCATTGCGTCGTTCTTGTAGAAGATCCTGCTATCATTGGTCCCTGCCATCGGAAGCTGCCCATATCAAAGCCTAAACCCCAAACCCCGTCAGAAGGATAAGGCGATGAGCCAATCGGGACAGGCCAGCATGGGCTCGACAGTCCGAAAGCCGCGCAGACATCAACGCCTCAAACCGAAACCTCCAATCCCCAAGTACTGAAACTCAGATCGCAAGGTGCTACGAAACCAGATTTGCCTCGGCACTTCGCCGAGGGCAGCACCGGGACCCACCGGCGCAAGCGCTCTCTTCTCTACCAGTAGCAGCTTCAGCTTAGGTCCATGCATACATGAACAAGTAGCTTTCTGATCTTCAGGTGTCGGGGGTAGACGGCTCGGGCGATGTTCTTCCCCGCACGTTTGCTGCAGGCCTGGGCAGAGATCCTGGATCTGAGGACTGCACGGCTGCAGGCTTGAAACTGCCGTGTCTCCTTTCTTGGTTGCTTGTGGCCATGTCTGCTTCAAAGCTCGCAACAAAGGCAGACGGCGGCGGACAGCGCAACTGCAAGGACGTGAAAGGAAACATCAGCCGCACGGGTCGCAAACAACTTCGCCCCGAAGCCCAATCATCATGAGACCGATAACTTCAGTGTTCTGATGCTCTGCTCATGGTCATGAATCGAAGCCCCATCTTCCCTTTGCCCCTGCGGCGGAAACAGGCAGCACAAAGGCAAACTCCGGAGAGCTGAGGCCGATAAAACCCTGTAGGCCCTAGACCCTGCCTGCACAAAGGGGTCTGAGAAAAAGGTCTGGGCCACCGGCAGCACCTCCAGGCACAGTGAGGGTTGATTGCAAGTGCACAAACCGAAGTCCCAGAAAGCCTAAAACCTCTTCGGGCTCTCGCTGCTCATGCCTGCTGCTGTAGGTTACACGACAGTCCCCAGCCACTCCGTCAGTGTGGCTGTTCCAGGAATAAAGATCGTTCACATCAGCCTTCCAACAACTCACTTCGAAGATAGCGTAAGCCGTAGACGGTAGGTCGAGCTTCTGCAGATTCGGTAGCAAAAGCCCAACCCGAAACCCCAAATTCCCACTTTTCCAAACCTTGAAATGCCCTAAAACCACCGAAAGGTTTCGTGGGTTTGCTCCTTGGCGACAGCACGAAGCATCGTGCTGCAACTCGCCAGGTCTCTCTCCAGGGGCTCTAGCATTTTGGAGTTTCGAAGCCTAGGGTACCAGGACTTCAGGGGTCTAGGGCAGTTTGGGGCCTCAGGTTCCTGGTAGGGTTTAGGGTTTAGGGTTTAGGGGTTTAGGGGTTTAGGGTTTAGGGTTTAGGGTTTAGGGTTTAGGGTTTAGGGCTTAGGGTTTAGGGTTTAGGGTATTCCTCAAGGGTTCCTCGCTGTTGGGCTTTTTGGGGCCGAGCTCCCCCACACCCGAAGCCTAAGCCCGACCTTGAAACAGGCACCAGCCCTATTCTCTACAAAACTCCCAGCTCCTCGAACCCCCAAACAAAACCCCAGGACCTAAAGTGCCCCTTTCAACCTCGCCGCAAGAGAAACAGAACTCGCGGTTTTAACACCCTGAGTCCTACAGCCAAACACTCCTGGGCCAATTGAGCCTCCGAGAGGCCAGAGCATTCGATAAGCCTCGGATTACTTCAGGGGTTTAGGGTTTAGGGTTTTTTTTTGAGCACCCTTTTTCCACCTAGCAGTTAAGGTCGGTAGGGTTTAGGGTTTAGGGTTTAGGGTTTAGGTTCAGGGAGTGGGTTGCGGGCCTGAAGAATTAGAATGTAGCATTTGTTTGGGGCAAGTGACACTAGAAGGATATTTGGCAACCTTAATGGAGGCTACTGCTGAACGCTAAAATCCTTCGAAGTTGCTGGCTTGTGGAGGTCTGTACAGGATTTCTCTCTCATTATCTATAAAAGGTTTTGGTGTCGTTCCGAAGGGCCACGGGGTTGCAGAGGATTTCGGGATCGGCTGGCAGAATTGTGCGAGATTTTGAGGGTTTCGCTTTTTTTACATCTAGAACTCGGGTACCCCGACTTTCAAGTCCTCACCCAAGCATCACCCTTACAAACATCAGCACCTTCATGTCCAGTTACCATCACGCTCGCACCATCACCAGCATCAGCTTCAGCATCTGCAGCAGCGGCAGCATGCCCATCCGCATCCGTCACCAGCATCACCATCATCGCCACCAGCCTAGCCATCACCAACACCATGACCATCGACGTCATCGTCAACATCAAACATTTAATATCATCATCCTCCTCTTTCCAGGCCTCCTGCATCCTCAATTCGCGATCACCAGCGGCTCAGCTCTGCCAACCTCCTTTTGCACGCTACATAGTGTATAGACGAGATGAGAACCCTAAATCCCACTACACACCCAAAACCCAGAACCCCCCACGCTTGAAGGCAGGAAGCAGAGAGTCCAGCTTTTGCCCGCCAGATGCCTCGGCTGCCAAAGTCTCCGGAGCATCGGCGAGGCGCCTGCAGGGCATGGTTAGGCTTTAGGGTTTAGGGCTTGTGATGTTTTTGAGACTTCTACAACGGCTTCGCTGTAAGACCCTTATCGGGTTTCATCTGGCTCTATCGTGCTACCGTTTTCTTCAGTTTAGTTTAGGGTTCGGCATTCGAGGTCAAGGGTCTTGGGGATTTTTTGCAGACCCCGTTTTGCTACACCATTAAAACAGCAACCTGGTGTATGGCTTGTGATGCCAAACTGCTAGGGCCCTTGACCTGAGTTAGATGCTAAAATGCATAGTCGAGTAGAAGGCGTGTTTCTAGTTTCGGAAGTAGTCGTGGGTTTCATCGCCAACAGAACCCGCATCACAAAGGTTTCCCTTAACACACCATCGACGCCTCAGAGCATCGACCAGGTCTCCCCGAACTCGGCAGCAAAGGCAGCCGTTGGGCATCACGATGGTCTCCGCGGCAGATTTCTCGAGCCTCAGTGAAATTCTGAAACTCAGTCGCGACTCGGGACCTCGCAGGGCGTGAACGAGGCCACGCCGTTGTCTTTTCGACGCTCACCCACTCACCCACCAGCAAGACAACATCTCAAAACCCGTCACTTCATATGAATTGTCAATGACTTGAGCGACGGACAGCATGAGTTGGTCATCGATTGGGACCTTGCCGAACTCGTTCTGAACAACTGCAATGCGCCGCCCATGCCCGAGGCCTCGTGGCCATCCAGCTTCAGGCACACCGTCTTTTTATAATTGGGATGAAGGAGGCACCGGCCCGGCATGAACGTGAATTGCGTCTACATGCGAACCTGCTTCATTCAAGTACAACGGGACTGGGCATGACACAGCCAACTCGCCAAGGAAGCTGCAACGCTTCACGAATCCCCAACGGCCTTCCATATAACGCAACCCTCGCATGACTCATGCGTTCCAGCGGCTTTTCAGCACGAAATTCAGGAAGGTAGTCTTCCCTGCTCCGAGGAAGCCAGTGAGGATGGTGGCCCGAATGCGCCGTTCCTGCAAGTCCTCAGTCGAGTCGCGTCGGTTAGAGCTGGCGGGTGTTTTCGGGCAATTTGCAGCGGGACGTCCGTTTCATTTCAGGTACCTGGAACTCGCGAAGGGCTTTGACCCCGTGGCTATGACCCCGGAAGTCGAACAAGACGTGTCAACTTTCGACCTTCGAAATCTTGGCAGGCGAAGGTCGACGCAGGACTCGATCTCTCGCTTCTGTGCGGCAGTTAGATTTCCGTCCAGTTCGCTGTTGGCCTTTTCGCAGAAGATGCACATGGCTTCCGCTGGACGGCTGCTCACGGATGGAGGGGAATTGAGGGGTTTTTATGCGGAGTGTTCAGTGAGAGCGTTAGTCGCCCCGGGATTGCGACGTTAGGTTCGGGATGGTTTAAAGTGCAGGCTCAAGGCTCGAAACTTGAAGGTTTCGGTCCGTGGCAGACCAAACTCAGATCTCAAGTTTAGCCTCGGCAACAAGTTTAAGCCCCAATTCAGACTTTATTCGATGTTTGCTGTGTTGCAGCAGTGGTCGTGATGCAGATTTCGCAACATGGGCTGCAACCTTCTGAAGCCATCGTCTGCGGCGTCAAAACATTTGCAGCGGAATCCTCGGAAACTTGGAGTCTTGCGCCTTCCACCTGGGGGTTTGCTGGGTTTGATGGGTCTTAACATTAACTGCCTTCGAGACTTGCCCAGATTGTTAGGTTTTAGGGATTAGGGTGTGGTAGGGTGCAGGGCTTTAGGGTCTAGGGACGGAACGAAACATAACAGCCTCCCAGCTCGAACTGAAACCTGCTGGATTTTCTGGCGGCCCAATGCTCCCTGATACATTGCGGTGAAACGACAAGAGAGCACGCATTGCTCCGGGCGAGAGGGAAGTTCGAAATAAAACCCCATGTCATCCTTAACCTGTTGACCCTAAACCCTATCGCTATACACCTAAGCCGTTTCAAGCTTTAAAACGAAATAAAGCACTTCGAGAGATTTCGACTTCCCCCCCGCCCAGGAGCCACTCGAGACACGTCCAGGCTTAGGTGGATTTAGGCTGGGGTCTTCATGGAAATTTACGGGAGTTTAGAGGGATCCTTGTACAAGTGAATATGGAAGCCCTAGCACTGCCATAATACGTCTTATCGGAGATTCTCTAAGGGCTTCTTCGAGGGTGATTCTTCCAGGGTGACTGCGATGCGATTTGACAGAGTCAGGCTCGAAGGTCTAGGAATGTTGAGGGTGTGGTGCAAATCGTACCAAGAATAAGACAAGAATAAGACTGGGAGTAGCAACAAAATCACGGCAACAAAGTAAATGAAACCAACAACAGGAATACGGGTAGAAATGATTCTTCGATAATAGCAGTAGCCGTGTGTGACATTAGTAGTACTAGCAATAGCTGTAGTAGTAGAAATAATGATAATTAGCCGTACAAGTAGTAAGAGCAATAATGGCAATGGCAGATCATGGTCACAATCGTAAGTATCTTCATGGTGGTCGGGTCTCGATGCGTTAACGCGATCTCGTGCGGAACAATGACTCCTTACGAACAACATCTCACAACAGCAAGCACATGGCCGAACACTGCATTAAGCGATGGGCACTCCACCGTCACAAAGAATCTATTTAACATTCTGTCCGCCATACCTGTCCATCTCCAATCCGACACAAGACCTTGCGTGCCGAACCTCGGACGCTCTGGAGAAGGAACTTCAAAGAACCCCCCCAGACCTGAAACATCCAGATCAGCCAAGCTCGCGGAAGCTTTAAAGTAAAACCCGCTACAATCGCCTCGTCTCGCGCAATCTCCTACAGTGCGTGCCTGTGCCGCCGATTCAAGGAACGGCCCTGGCGGCGGAGTCCAAGTCAGGGATTTGTGTCATCTGTCGGCATGCATACACACGTACATACGTACATAGGCATACATACATACATACATACATACATGCATACATACATACATACACGCATACACACATACCTACATACATACATGCATACATGCATGAGTCCTTGCCTTCTTACACAATTCAATACATTCTTAAAAACTTACTTACTTACTTACTTACTTACTTACTTACTTACTTACCCACGTTCATGCAGACATACATACATCTTACTTACTTACCCACGTTCATGCAGACATACATACATACCTCTTCTTCCAGCCGCAGTCTGATAGGGCCTTGCACAGGTATTGTAGCTGGCCAGTAAAAGTTGCGGGCTGCATTCATGTTGGATTGGTCTCTCGCTTGCAGATCTGTTGAAGCGAAGAAGCCACACCTACGAAGGCCCTCAATGCCCTTCAAAGGCTCATGCAAAGTCGACCGATGCCGATATGGGTGAAGGCAAACGCTGGCCATCCCATGCTGTCCAACAGAGCCTAATTACTGTCAGGGTTCTTGCAATCGCTGCTTCCGAGAAGTCAATGCCCCCAAACTCGAAGTGAACATGGACATGCAGCTGATGGGGCTCTGACTCGCGTGGAACAGTGCTTTAGCGTCTTGCCAGCCGACTGGCTGCCTGCGGCTTCTTCTGCAGGGAGGTGGGCTGTCGGTAAGAATCGCATATCCATTCTCATTGCCTATGCTGCCTAAACATCGGTGGTCTTGGTGGTGGTGGTGGTGGTGGCCTTTGTGGTGGTGGTGGTGGTGGTGGTGGTGGTGGTGGTGGTGCTGGTGGTGGTGGTGGTGGTGGTTTCGAGCAAATACATAGCCTGCGAAGGACTCAACCCGACACCGGCTTCAATCCGACATCCCCTCACTCCCAAGACATCCAAAATCCCAAAAGGACCAAAACCATTACACCGAGGAGCGTCTCCGGCCCTCTGCACTCGTTGGAGCAGCTGGTCGTCTTGCACCCTGCAACACCGAACATCGTCACGACATGTGTGCTGGAAAGTGTTGAGAGGAGCTGACGGACTGAGTTGCACACCAACAATGGAAGGCATAATTCCAATCTGGACTTCTGGAACTGCAAACTCAGGCATGACAGCACTGGCAGCACCAACTTTCATCAACATCACAGCAGAGGCGAGCAGTAGACTTAGCAGCATCACTCGTCGTAGGTGTCAGTGGCGGCAATGGCGGCAATGGCACTAGAACTTGCTGCGGTACTGGTGGTGGCACTGGTATTCGTCATAGTGCTTGGTAGTCGGAGTCGTAGTCGCAGCTAAGCTAGTAGTACTAGTGTAGTAGTTGTAGTAGTAGTCGTCG